CCATGGGGAGGTTTGTGGCGATTAAGATCATCAAACAGCTCCATCAGAGTATTGTAATAGTCCTTGATGCTCATGGTGGTCGATTGCTTATAACTGGTGATAGCCGCACGTAATCGTTGCAAGAGAGGGCCATTAGCTTCGCAGAAACGCTTCTTCAAGAACACCCAAAGTTTCTTTGCTTCCTCAAAATAGGGCATAGAGGTTGCTAATTTCGGTTCAATAGCTTTCAAAATCCAAGAAACCAACATCGAATTCACGGTTTCCCTGTCTAACATCTTCTTTTTCTCAGTTGGTTTGGAGATGGTGCCATCAACAAACCCGAATTTTCGTCTAGATTTCAACGACAAAGTAATCGCCCTAGACCATGTCAAATAATTATCACCCTTCAAGATCACGTGAGTAATCAAATTGCCGGGTTGATTGCCAGAACCAAGATAAAAAGGGGAAGCGAGATCAATTTTATCATCCGCCATTATCGATCAAGCAGTATGGTAGAGAAATTTAGGGGAAAAAAAATTAGTGCGTTAGAGTGTAGAATTGTGTTTAGGGTTTAGAGTATAGAGGCTTCGATACCATGTCAAGAATTAATTTTCCATAGTTGTATTAGAGTATGAACAGGTGTATATATATATACAACCTAAAAGAGATTAGGGCTTTATAACATTGGCCCCATAAGCTATACACTACATAAAGCTTAACATAAAAACATCATTTAGACAACATAAATGAGATTAAAGTTGGTAAATGATAACCTTCTCATGTGAAGCCGAAGGTTGCGTCCCGATCTATCTTATATTATGAGTACTATAGACTGTCCCTCCACCATATCAATCTTTTTCCTTCCATAATTTCCAAAGTTTCTCTATAAATGCATTTATTTTTATATTTTTTCACATCTAATATGCAAATTAAATACTCCATTAAGCAAATCTCCATTTAGTCTTATACGGAGTACTCCTTATGTTCCTATTTGACTTTACACGGTCTCTCTGATATGCCTTAAAACGTATATAACTCCATTTTTCTACGCATAAAAATTATTCAAATTTGATATTAATAAAATATACAATGAGACGAATCCAATAAGACTACACATGACTAATATTATCTCTTATTGATTAATGGAAATTCTTGGTCAAAGTTTTTAAGTTTGGCCCATTTATTTGCAATGGGGCAAAAAAATGAGGATAGAGGGAGTATTTCGTAATACATTTGTTCTGATTACTTCAAATAGAGATAAAAGTTGATCAAGTTGATCAAATACAATTAAACTCAATTCAAATAAGTGCGCGTAATTAAGTTTAAAAAAGTAAAAATTAAGTGAATAAAACACACATAAAATAAAAACTGGAGTAAATTTATACATAGACTTTGGGTATAATGTGAGCAATACACCTAGAAAGGAAAGTGACAGCCAAAATGGTGAGGCCAGTTTCTTCAAACAAACACAAAACAATAAGGCACATGAACTCATGTTCGTGAGATATCATCCACAAATAAGACATAGGCTGCCAGCTTAGTTCCTACAAAGCATAATATTAATGCAATAATTACATTCTTTATTTTTGAATTTTATGGTACGGCCAAAACTTCAGGTCTTCTATTTAGATAAAGATTAATCAACATAATCTACATACTGGAAAAAGTATACGAGTATATAATTAATTTAATCAAACTAGATAATGTCAATTTACGTCAAAAAATAAAGAATCAAATGCCATTTGCATTTAAGTTAGGTTACAACTAAATCATCTGTAACGTGTGAGGCTAAGATCGAGTGAGCATTTTTTTTAATTTTATTTCGACTTTATTATACTCATACTTAGGTTGTGTTTTGTTCACCTTATGTTCACTCGTTTAATAAAGTATGCTCAAGTTCAATTTATAATTAATATAAGTTCTAACAAAGTCTGATAAGTTCAATAAATTTAGATTAGTTCAAAAATCAAAAAACCAGGTATATATGTGTATAAGTGTATTGCATTCCCCTTTCAAAAACATATGTTTCTTTTGTTTTAATTCTTCAACTTAATTTACTTTTTTTTCATGTCTGAATTCTAATAAAGTGATTAAGTTCAAATAACATAGGATAAGAGTTAATAAATTTAGATAATGAATTCCAACAATATTTATCAGGATCACCAGCTAAGATAATTGTGTTCTTATTTAAATAAGACAATATATAATTTTTTTTTTTTTCTTTTTTTTGGGCGGTTAATTTAGTCTACTTTATTGTTAATCAGGAAAAAAAAAAAAAGAATATTCAACCTTCCAAAATGAAACACATGAAGATGAGGGTGATGAACACATGGATAACGATTTGCTAGGGGCTCTCCTGTCTCCACGGCATGTACCCCTTCCCTCTTTCCAAAAGCCTAAACCTTTATTCACATTCTTTAAACACTCCACATACACGAGTAAGATGAAGCATTTTGAAATTTAAACATTATACAATTTTTTTTTTTTATTATTTTTGTTTATAGTGATTATTTCATGAAATAATACACATTTTTGATTTTGTTAGACCTATCTCAATTTGTACTTTTTGAATATCAAATTTTTATGATTTTACTGATAATTTTATCTTTGGACCAGATTAAATACTTCCTCCATTTTTTTTCTTCTAGATGTGGCATTTTACTTTACAAGTTTACCAACGTATAATCTTATTTAAATTTACCAAAAATTGTCTGAAATTATTTTTCTTAAACAAAGTGAAAATACAGTGAACATGAACCAGAAAATTAAAACAATTGACCACCCTAATTACTTCAGTCCGTCTTGCTTGTGTGTGGTTGGGCACACCGTGTGACCACTTATAAAATAAAAAAAGTCTTTTATAACACTCACCGAGTAACCCCTATAAATACTGGTTGAGTAACCCCTATAACATTGACCGATAACCCTATAACACTGACGAAGTAACTCCTTTAACACTGATCAAGTAACCATTTACACTAACGAAGTAACCCTATAATTAATGACTTGCCACACCACCCTTTACACTAACGAAGTAACCTCAATAATGATTGACCAGACGGTGTGGCCAGCCACATATAAGAATTTATGTTACTACTATGGAGTATGTATATTGCAAAATTATTTTTGCTCACTATTATACTTCGATAGTATATATACTAAACTTTGCTACAAATAGCAACATTTGGACCAAACCTTGTCCCAAGACTTCAAACCAAAGCTTTTACTTTACTACATACCTTTTGTAAATATTCTACTTATTTATTTATTTTTATTGTCCATTAATCAATTTTCAATTTCTCTTAATATTTTAAATTAAATTTTCAATTTTCCCTTCATTCTTGTCACATTATTGTTATCAATAATAATGCAACCTACATTATATTATTATAATGCGACCAGTCAATTTGTTATTAGTCATTGAAAATTTAAGCTCTAATTAGGATCAGATTAGCTAGTTTCTACAATTTTTGTATAATAAATAAGTTTGGACCATCTTTATCTCAAATACGTATATTCTTAGCTTTGCCCTACGTGAAATTGCTTTCTTTGTACGCATATAGATTTATATATATATATATATATATATATATATATATATATATATATATATATATATATATATATATATATATATATATATCCATGGTTTTATATTTCTAGTTTTAAATATATTTTTGACTTGACCCATCTTAGGTATGAAACGATCAATTTTCTTAAAGAATAATCTAGTAACAACGTATTAAACTTATTCATTCAAAAGTCCAAATATCATACAAGAAATAAATATATGTACATATTTATAATATATAAAGCAAAAAAATTCATAAGCTAATAAGGTAGAAGAACAAGTGAACAACAATAAAGTATAGACGCTCACCGACCAATATTGGTGATAAGGAATGGAGGATATGTTTTTTTAGGTAAAAATATAATCTTCTGGAACTATTGTAATGTTTGACAAGAAAAAAAAAAAAAAAAAAAAAAAAAAAAAAAAAAAAAAAAAAAAAAAGATAAAATCAGTGATTATTGTTCAAAAGATCCTATTCTACCAGTATTTATAAATATTACATTGATTTTAAATTCAATGTCAATGTGATTCATTATAAAGGATTTAGATTATGATTGAACAATTCAACAACGATTATTGTTGAATAATTGGAATCAAACATTTGAAGATTGAAGTCGTTGTTGTATGTTGCATTTAAATTCTGCCAGTAAAAGTTACTTTATATCCCTTTATGTTTTGCAAAAGTGTTAAACTAAAACCGATTTAATACACAGTCCGCTCTTTTATGATATGCAATTTAAGAAAATTTTAAAATTAAGAATGGGTATAAAACAAAGTAAGAGGGAAAATGTAAAAAAGATAGATTTGTGTAAGAAAAAATTGAACAAATTTATGAGAGAATGTGTGAAAATGTATAATTATTGCATATGGAAAGGGTAAGATAGTAAAAGGGATAAACGAAAAATAGAATAATAAGACAAAGTGATGAGTAGAATAAAAAGAACGGACTAAAATGAGTTACTTTTCTTTTTAACACTAATTTTTAATTAAGGTTGACTTTCATTAAGTTATAGTAAGGTTAAAGTTATCCATATATACTACAAAAATTATCACTTTTCTAGCATAAATTTTAACCTTAAGTATTAGATTAATCATATTAGCCTTCAAAGCATGTATTTATTAAAAATTACACATTAAAATACAATTAAACTCATTACAAATTAAAATTTGCCTAGAAATTAAAGTTACTATCAAAATTGTGTTTTTTTTTTTGACAAAGACCAGCAAAATTGTTAAGTTACCTTCTAATCAATCGTTTTACAATAAAATTAACGTTAGTTCGCCTTGTACTAGACTTAATGTTATTTTAACTAATTAAAATTACTTGTATAATGAGTCTGAGTTACTTTTACGGTTTTACCCGTACAAATTTATCCTTAACTTAGTGATGAATTTATAGGATAAAAAATTTTCATGTCCCATCTAATAAATTAACTCATCCTATTTCCCTCAAAAAAAAAAAAAAAAATCAACTCATCCTATATTCTCCAATTCATACCAAAAAAAAAAAGAAATAAAAGCATGCTAAGCCTCCCCATAATCCAACAATTTCACAAGCATCATGTTCTAAACCTTGAATTACATGTTCTCTCCAATTTTTATACGGAGTACCCCGCATTCTTCATTAGCTCTGCACAAACAAACAAGATTACTGTTCCCGAAATTTTCTCTCTCCAATCTCTAAAGGACAGCTTGTCTTCTATTTCTTGATTAAATACCACATCTCTATTTTGCGTTACCTGGAATTTTTTTTCCTAAATCATCAATGATTTAGTTGTGAATTTTACTTTTGAATTTCCTAAAATTTCTTCTTTTACTGTCATAATTGCTGGATTGGATTTGTTTTTCATTGGGGGTTGCTTCAATATCACTCCAACTTTTCTGGGTGTTCTGAATTCTGCTGATTGATCAGAGGTATGTTTAAATTTTCAGTTTTCCCCCTCCCCTCCCTTCAAAATTCAATCTTTTTGCCTTTTCTATTTATGGGTTTTTGGTTAATTCAGAAAATCATTTCTGGGGTTTTCTGATAAAGTTTCTATCTTCATTCTCCCTCCAAAACTCAAATCTTAATTAATTTGCTAATTTGTATTTATATTCTTGTTTATGGGTAATTTCATGTATTATTAGAATGTTTGGATTTATGTTAATAGTTTACTTGAAAAAAAATATAAAGCAAGTAGAAGTTGACTTGTGATCGTCATCTAAGATTTTGTAGATGTTGGTATGATTTGATTTAGTGTATTCTTAAATTAATATGGTTGTTGATGATAAAAAGCTCATGTACTTTAAGCAAGTTGCATATGATTACCTTTACCTGCTAGAACTTTTTGGAGCATTCTGTATGTTATTTAAAGTAATATAAATAAAAATTGATTAATTTTGAAGTAATTTTGTAGCCTTGGATTTGGAGCCCATGTCTCAATATTATGTAATCGGCTTTTGTTTATTATAAAGTTGCCATCATGATCAAAACTATAATCTAATCAGTTTTATGGTATGTTTAATTCATTTAGAATTTATGATTACTTTCAATTTGAATTACCTGAGCTGATTATGCATTGGTTTCTGGCTGTGTTTGACCATGAATGTGTTGCATGATGAACAAGTTACATTTGTTTTGCATTGGTAATTGTGTTTTCCTGTTCGTTGGTTGAGCCTTGTATTCTGATGTATGTTCTCAGGAGGACTCTCAAATATAGGAACAGGGTTGTGGTAGGAAAGTGATCCTATACATACTATAGCTACTTGGGCATGGAGCCACATAGTAATGATGTGAACCACAATGATGAAGAGAATGATGTGGAAAACCTTGGTGAATCGGATGGCAGGGAAGAAGAGAAATGGTCAACCTTGTCGGAGAGGAACATGTCGATGAGGATGCCACTTCTGAGAAAAAGGACAAATACTACCTCGCAGATTGCTGTTATCGGTGCCAATGCCTGTCCCATTGAGAGTCTTGACTATGAGTAAGTAGATTTTTTTTACATACTATAGTTACTAAGGTATATACATTTAAGATACATAGTACTCAGACAACCTTTTCAATACCTAACAAATCAAATCTTTCAGTGGCTAGTGAAATGTATTGCTTGTTTTATTGCTTCTCCCCTCTCTATTTCTTGGTGTTACATGGCTAGTCATTCATGGTGAATTGATGAGCAGAGTTTTTGAGGTTTATGGATGACATTTAACGGACTGTTAATTCTTTTATCCTATGCTACTTGGACATGGATGGTAATTCACCAGACTGTTGGTTTCTTATACAGTCCAGCGTTCAGATTAGTACTTGCTTTCGGTTGCTGCTATATAGTTTCCTTATTTTCCATTGTTATCTGGCATTTCAGGATGATTGAAAATGAATTGTTTAAGCAAGATTGGAGAGGAAGAAAAAAGGTTCAAATATTTCAGTATGTGTTCCTAAAGTGGGGATTGGCTCTCCTCATTGGTCTTACTACTGGACTTATTGGCTTCTTCAACAACATTGCAGTTGAAAATATATCTGGTTTCAAATTGTTGCTCACTAACAAACTCATGCTTCAGGGAAGGTAAGTTTCATTAATACATGTGCTAAATATGTATGTAGTCTAATATTGAATAACAATGTTCCAGTTTGTTTAATACCTCATCTTTCTTGTGCTAAAATTGTTACCATTATTAAGAATGCTACATCTACTAGAGATTGAAAATTTTCCTGTGGTTCTTATAAATTGTTTATTGTTTTATGCATTATGGTTCTAGTACAGTTACTTCAAGGCTTTTCTTGCATTTGCTGGATTGAATATAACGTTTGCTGCTGCTGCCGGATCACTTTGTGCCTTTTTGGCTCCTGCTGCTGCGGGATCTGGTATCCCTGAGGTCAAAGCTTATCTTAACGGTGTTGATGCTCCCTCAATCTTGGCTCCTAGCACACTCTTTGTAAAGGTAAATGACTCCCTCAATATCCTGAGGTTTTTTTTTTTTTTTTTTTTTTTTTTAAAAATTTTTTTTTGGTGTGTGTGTGGGAGGGGAGTGACTGAAGATATCTCATTCTTGTCATGATGTGAAGTCTGATGAATAGAGCAAGAAGCCCATAGCTTAGAGGAGCTAGGCTTCAGTTCCTGTGGCTGTGACCTGGGTTCAAGGCTCATATCCCCCCTCCCACGTGGGTAATACCCCCTTGATATTCCTGTGATAGGAAATCAAGGTGAAGCCCACCCCTTACCCCTGAAAAAAATGAAGTCTGATGAATAGTGATCATGAATTGCTTATTATGCCAACATTCCTTGCTCCAAGAAAGAACGGTTAAATTATTTTTTCCGTAAGGCAATTCATGAGTTGAGTGGTTATTATTCAGTCTCTTTAATGAGGCTAACTAAGGATAATTAAGCATATGCTCTATATTTTATTAAACTGGATTATGATTTATGCATCATTGCTAGAAGAATTTTTAAGTGTATACACGAACAGTCAGGACTCAGGAGGTTTCTTTCATGTGATTATTTATGAACTAATTGCTACATTCCTGAACTTGTAATGTTTTTTCCCATCTGTATAAAGCAAATAAATTTCTAGTTTTCAGTTCTTATGCCTTTACTAGAGAAGAGAATACTAGTAGTTATAACTGTTGATTCACATAATGTTTCATGGTCAGATCTTTGGTTCTGTTCTTGGTGTTTCTGCTGGGTTTGTTGTTGGTAAGGAAGGCCCTATGGTTCATACTGGGGCTTGCATCGCCAATCTACTTGGTCAGGGTGGCTCTCGCAAGTATGGTTTGACCTGGAATTGGCTCAGATATTTCAAGAATGATAGAGACCGGCGAGATTTGATCACCTGTGGTGCTGCAGCTGGAGTGGCTGCTGCTTTTCGTGCTCCTGTTGGTGGTGTACTTTTTGCCCTTGAAGAAGCAGCCTCCTGGTATGCTTACTCTTGGTTACCAGCAAAGCAATTTTTGTACAATTTGAATCTGGAATTTGATGCATCATATAAGGTTTCATGCAAGATAGCTTAGTATAGAACAATGTATATAGAAAGACTTAAAGTAAATAAATATGGAATTAAATGTGATGAAGTATGTCTTCAAGAATGTATCAATGGTCTTTTGGTCTATTATTCCAGAATTTCACAAAATTGGCTGTTTTATATATATTCTATTTACCCATTCATTTCAACATATTTCAGGTGGCGGAGTGCTCTTCTTTGGAGGACATTTTTTACCACAGCTGTAGTTGCCATAGTTTTGAGAAGCTTAATCCAATATTGTTGGAATGGGAAATGTGGTCTGTTTGGTCAGGGTGGGCTAATCATGTATGATGTCAGTAAAGAGGTCTCAAGTTATGGTAGTTATGATATCCTGGCTGTGATAGTTCTTGGACTTATCGGAGGTGTTCTGGGCAGCTTTTATAATTATCTTGTTGACAAGGTCCTCCGCACTTACAGCGTCATTAATGAGTAAGTAATTCTAATTTTCTGTCTATGAACAGGCTTTATTTTAGGAATTAACCATTGTGGTATGTGGTTTTTTAAAATAGTGTAATGTTTTAATGTATTAGTAGGCCTTTATTCATTTTGTAATATAGAAACTGGAAATCCAAAAATTTCCTTTCGAAATTCATGGGGCTCTTAACTTCTAATGATTACTTAAACATGAAGCTCGAGTAATAAAGATGGCAAAACTCATATGATCATTTTAGTCTATTGAGATTTTGAAGGCACGAATATTACATGCACTATCGTTGACAATGCATCTGTCTGTAATCTATTATGAAGTTTTTATACGATAGAAAGTTTCTTTCCACCCCCCCTCCCCCTCTTTTCCTGATTAGAAACCTTAACCCCTGTGTCTAATGCCTTGCAGAAAAGGTCCGTCCTTCAGAGTTTTGCTTGTTATAATTATATCTGTCCTGACAACATGCTGTGCCTTCGGCCTTCCATGGCTCGTAAGTTGCACTCCATGTCCTACAGATACAACGCACGAGTGCCCAACTATTGGTGAAATCGGGCATTACAAAAGCTTTCAATGTCCACCTGGCTCCTACAATGATCTTGCTTCCCTCTTCCTCACCACAAGCGATGATGCTATACGCAATCTTTTCAGCAACACAATCATAAGAGAATTTCAGATGTCTTCACTCTACATATTCTTTGTTACAATTTATTTCCTTGGGATCATCACTTATGGGATTGCAGTACCCGCAGGACTATTCATACCTGTAATTTTAGCCGGAAGTGTTTATGGTCGTATTGTAGGTAGAGTCTTTCACTCTGTGTCAGTGCTTGATACGGGTCTATTCTCTCTACTGGGAGCTGCCTCATTTCTCGGGGGTACAATGAGAATGACAGTCTCTTTATGTGTGATACTGCTTGAGCTTACCAATAATCTATTACTTCTTCCCCTTGTGATGATAGTTCTCCTCATATCTAAATCAGTGGCTGATTGCTTCAACCGTGGTGTATATGACCAAATAGTGAAACTAAAAGGGTTGCCATATTTGGAAGCTCATGCAGAGCCTTATATGAAGCACTTGGTGGCCTGCGACGCTGTTTCTGGTCCATTAGTCACTTTTTCAGGTCTGGAGAAGGTGGAAACTATTGTGCATGCTTTGCAAAGTACAGGGCATAATGGTTTTCCTGTTATTGGTGAACCACCTTTCTCAGAGTCACCCGAGTTGTGTGGATTGGTTCTGAGGTCACATCTGCTTGTTTTGCTGAAGGCAAAGTATTTCTCCAAAGAGAGGAGGCTTTCGGGTAGAGATATCTTAAATAAGTTCTCTCCCTCTGACTTTGCTAAGCCTGGGACCGGTAAAGGGCTCAAGTTGGAGGATATATCTTTAACAGAGGAAGAGATGGATATGTATATTGATCTTCATCCAATAACTAATGCTTCTCCATATACTGTGCTTGAGACTATGTCGTTGGCCAAAGCTATGATTCTCTTCAGGCAACTTGGACTGAGACATATGTGCGTCGTACCAAAGAGTCAAGGGGTAAGTGTTTTTCTTAATGAGTGCCGAACACCTTCCCCCCCCCCCCCCCTCCTTCTCTCAACTTCTATTTTGAACTTCATCGCTTGGAAAAATTGGTTGGTCCACTTGGCTTGTGTGATTAGCTCGCATTGTTGGCAGTTCGTACAAGCTGCTTGAGTCAGCTATTAGTATTGTCTCAACTTATTGAACTTGTATTGTCAACCTACATTACATAAATTATTGAACTCTGCTGACTCCTTTTCTTAATGCAGAGACCTCCAATCGTTGGAATTTTAACGCGACATGACTTCATGTCTGAGCATATACTTGGACTCTACCCCCATATGAGGCAGCACAAGTAAAATTATCCATGGAGATCTCAATGTCCGGTGGATATTCTGGCTTCTCATTTATTCAGCTATTCTTTTTTCCCATTTCCCCCCCTATTTGTCGAAGCATGTGAAGTGTCGCGACATTTGAAGTTGGTTTGGAATTAAGAGACATATCAAGTGTCCGCCTGGAATTTAGGAGGACTGCGTTTTCAAGCAAGGATGACGGTTGATTGGTGTCTCACACTCCTATGACGTGAATATTCATCATAATTTCTATTACTTCAACTTAGGAGTGTTAAAAAAATTTCATCAGAAAATAGGCTCCTATGATCATGCTTATGGCTTGGGAGATTTTTTACATAATACTGGAATGTTAATAATGAAGTTTTGTTTTCAATTTTCTGAGGGGTAGGGATGATGAGAGCCTGAGAGGTTCATTCATATTCACAGAATCTGTACCTGAAAATTTTCATTTTTTTTTTTTTGATATTTAAATATATATATTGTCTGTAAATTTCAAGACAGAATTTTCCTAAATAATTAGTTAATTACTGGTATCTTAATATCAGTGCCTTGTTATATATGTAGATTACATTCGTGTTATGTTTTAATGTTAAGGTATGTGTGGCTTTCGCAGTTCGAATCATCATCTATGATTCTCCGTTCTAGTCTCTTTTGTTAGTTCTGTGTTCTCGTCTTCCTGATGTCATCTGCCTTTGTTCTGGTAAAGAAAACAGAGTGCCATTTGTTTCAAGATCAAAGACTGTACGGTCAAATTTCTGTTAACACAATCAATTCATTGACCCGACCTTCTCTAAGCAATCCTACTGTGAGAAGTTAACAATAACGGGTTTGTACTGTACTTAAATCTTTATTATGCAACATGATTCAGTCTACCTTATCGCCCTCAATTGTTTATTTGTACCTTGATTGGATGGTTTCATGTACGTTCATCCCTTCTCTTAATCGGTTCTATTTCTTCACTCGCCTCTTTTGTGCCTGGTACAATATACAATACCTAGGTCACTCCTTACCTCAGAATCTCCCTTGTTGAAATTTGAAAAGGCGGTATGGGTCAGTATTCACCTTCACCGGTTGGTCATGCATGCGAGCAGCGAACCACATTTTTCCTTTGCGTCACAAATATTGTTTCTGTTGCATCCCTTTCTGGCCCAAAACTATAACTTTCTATAAGCTTAAAAGTTATAAAAAATGACTGGTATTGAGAAGAAAAAGTGTTGATGTGACGAAAATATAAATATTATTTTCAAAACACGGAATGTTTTTTCTAAAACCTCCTAGAAAAGAAAGTGAGTTTATATTCAGGCGGAGGCAGTACTTATAAACTAAACTTCGTCACCCTTAAGCCCGGCCCCTGTTACCTACATGTTGAAAAGCTATATGCATGCTCATTTATGATCACTAGCTAGTTGCTAGACTTGATCAAAGAACAGACAACAGAATATACAAATTGACTACTACAGGTGAATACACGAGGCTTCCAGAAAAGGCAGAAATCTGAATTGAAGAATGAACTGGAAACTACAATTATCAAAAGAATGGAGTATATAATTACAGCTTTTACAGCATGTGTGGAAACACAAATAAATAAGCCTAACTAACTTACCAACAAAACAAAAATTTCAGGTATAAAAACTTTAAGATACAAGTATGCCACGTCACAGTATCCAAGCAGCTGACATGAATGAAGGTGCTTATCGGAACACTGCGATAATTTAGGAGGCTGTTGTAAGATAGAGGATCCTTTAACTGAGACGGAACTTAGGTCGGACCATAATTGCCCCTGGCCTTGCTTCATCAAATCGATACCTGCAATGTCGAGTTGCCATTTTATTACAAAATACAAAAATTAGCATTGGTTGATATGCAACGAGACATGCAGACTCACCTGTTGTCAGCAAGGAAGGTCCTCACGGCGGTTGGAAGTGCAGCTCCTCCCCGGCTATGATTTCCTATGCCTGCCAATGAAGAGGCCAACTATTATTATAAGGTAAAAGCAAAATTAATATGAAATGCAAGCAGTGGGATCCATGCTATTTCAAGAGGCAATTGGCAGCTATACCTGTAATGATTTCCAACCATGTTGGCTTCAGCCTATTTAATGCTCGCTTGTCTGAATTTTCCAGATTATTGCAGCCATCAGGATATGACCCACACCATTCTTCTGTTTTGGTCCTGAATCTGTTTGGAAGCTCTGAGGACCTTGAACCCTCAGACAGCATTTGGGTTTCAATCATATGCAGGCGTTCCTTCACTGCTTGGACTGCTTCTGACGCATGAAGACCATGCAAGTCCAGCCTCCAGATTCCATTTTTCTCATTTCGTATGCTCAAAATATCACAGGCAGCCTTTGCATTTAGACTTTGTGCAGCTCCCCATTCCTCCCGCGCTTTTAGAGAGAACTGTTGGGCAGAGATGTGATCACCTCTTAAAAATGAGTTAGTTGCTGCCTTGGAATGACGTGCAGCAGCCCTGTTGAGAGAAAAATGATGTACATATAAGTATACGATTGCATAATTACATATAGATTTCCCTAATTGATATTCATAAGCAGGCAGTCCATGATGCAAGGACCAGCAAGAATGACAGGTGATTAGATTTGCAAATGAAATGGTGTAAACCAAACCTAAAAAACAAGCCTCAACTTATACTACTCAAATTGGGAAGTAAAAGATAAAGCTCTAGTAGTCTAGTACAGAGCAATCTTGATTTACTTGATTGGACTCTCGGTTGGACAGGTCAGAAAAAAGATGTATGGATTGGCGTAATTGACCACTCAAGCAATGCATGCTATGACTCACATAATTATACAACTACACCATCAACAGCAGATATTACTCCTAGACAGAAATTAAAACAACATTTCCCAGCCATTCTAATGTTAACCATGTGAGATGATTTTTAAAAAAACTGAAGTCTATGAGATCCAAATAATCAGAAAAACCTGCTTTAGAAAAGGACATGTTCAAAGCTACTTCAATTTTGAAGCGATGTTTTTTCTTATTAGTACACCACATGTGACTAGATTCAATTTTGAAGCTACTTCTCCTGTTAACTAGATTCAAATCAGAATGCAGATACACATACTTCGCAGACAAAATTAACTGAGCATTATTAACATGAATAGCAGGTATTAGAAACCCAAACCTCATCATCTTTATTGCATCTTTACGGCTGCTTAAGTACACATCATCCTCTTCCCACTCAGGCTCAACAGGCACAGATGTCAACTCACCCAGCATTGCGTTGAATTCCATACAATCATCAAACAGCTTTTCAGCAGAAAGAGTAATATCATTCGTCACATTTTCGATGTTGTTACCAACACATGGCTTCAGTACAGACCACGTCTTGGGAGATTCGGACATATCTTTCAAGGAAGCATCTCTTTTTGCAGGTATCAATTTTCCATTGGTCACTGGTTCCATAATACTAAAGCTAGAAATGTTCATTTGAACATTCTCATGTTCTGGTGAACTCTGGTCATAAACCATGGCTTTCAAAAAGGATGATGCTTTGTCAAAGTCACCACCTGCAGAAGCCATTATATCCTCAATCAAACTATCATCAGCCCAGTCAAATAGCTCTTTAAGCTGTCTAGAGACCAAATCGTTTTTGTTGTTCAGAGAAATCTGACTGACCTGAGGACCTTCAGAACTATTAATTCCAGAAGACTTGCAATTCAAATCTTCTTTTAAAGGAGCTGCAAAATCTAGTGAAGGCAGTATAACTGATGAGAATGATTTCACTTGGCGTTGCCTGTTTCTTGAAAATGTTTTTTCAGGCTTAACTGTACTGGATAGTGAAGGAAAGGCCTCATTACTAGGCCGAACATCAGGGTTGTCTTTCTGCCTTTGCTGCTGGTCAAAAGCAGCCCAACCAGAAGTCTTCCCACGTCTCCAAGACATCTTTGAATCACCCTTGCTCGCAATCATATGACTCAAACTCTCAAACCAAGTAGCAAGGGTCGATCCCTACACAAACTGAAATATACCCTTGAAATAAATACGCGCCTCTGATAAGTCTCGGCTTTCTACAACAATAAAAACCTGATATCCGACACACAACACACAAAAGCAGACTTAAAAACCTCACATTATGTTGTATAGACAGATATACGAATTCGATAGATGCACTACTAAAATCATGGCATATGATCATTATTTCTGGCAGGAAATCCTAACCATTCCCAATTGTCTATTTACAACTTCAGTTGACATACACCCATTGTTACAAATTTGATTCATAAATCCATACCCGGTATTAAACAAACGAAACACGGACACTGCAACCGCTATATCAATCAATTTAGTAACGTGAAACCGCTAAACAACTAAGATAACTAAAAGTTAAAAAGCTGTTTAATTTGGTCAATTTTGATAATTTAATTAACTATAGACATATACAGCACTAAAGACAAAAAATTGCTACAAATAAACTAATCACACATTCACACATATAATCAAGCTTAAAAGATGAAGATGAATCAACAACTTTTCTATAACTTTGATTAAATAAACAATAATTAAACTGATACAAGATTAAAAGATAAGAAATTAGCTCAAATTTGACCAATCAAACAATGATTAATCTCATAATTAAACACCCCATCACCAATTTCCAATTAAACAAATTTTAAAAACTCATAAACAAAAACCCCAAGAATAAATTGAAAATTTCTAATAAAAATTAACAAAATAAAAAATTGTGGATGAATAATTACCTAAAAGGCTAAAAGGGCGTCAAATAATCACCGGATAATACTATTTCGGAGAACTAAACCGGAGGTAACGAAACCAAGGGGTAAATCTGGAAGAGAGAGAATTGTTGAAATCAGAAGCGTTGAAGATGGAAGGATCGGATGGCAGGGAAGCAATGGAAGAAGCTGAAGAACATCTGAAGCTGTAAAAATCCATAAAAATCAAACCTTGAAATTGTTTGTTGAAAGAAGAAGGAAGAAACCCAGAAAGAGGAAAGGAAGGTTTTTGAAGAGGTGAATTAGATTTGATTCGTTGGGTTATTTTCAAACACAAACTTTATTTTTTTTAAAAGTTGCCAATTAGTCGCAAGTCTCCTAATTATATTCAAGCCATCTTCTTTTGAGTTGTTCTACTCTGCTCTGCTGAATTAAAAATAATAATTAATAATAATAATAATAATTGATATCTTATAATAATTATTAATGTTTAATAATAATAATAATTAATATTAAATTAATAATAATAAAAATTAATATTTAATAATAATAATAATTAATATTAAATTAATAATAAAATAATAATCTTTTAAAAAAAAATAATAAAATATTAATAGTTAATATTAAATAATAATAATAATAATAATAATGCGATAATAATATAATAATAATAATAATAATAATAATGATAATAATAATAATAAATAATAATAATGCTGAAATATGCTCTGATCCTGCTTTGCTCTGCAGCTTAAAAGAATAGGGTCTTAGTCTTCTTTTACAAAAGGTCCTAAGACTCCTTTCCTTCAAAAAAAAAAAAGTCCTAAGACTCCTAATTGGAGTATTGATTAATTTGGGGTGATCCTTCTCAAAAGGATCTCTAATTTAACTAGTTTGACTTGTTAATAGTACCACATGCCTTTGTTTTTGTTAGGTGGTATGGAAACCTAGGTACGGAGTACATCGATGGCTATATACGGTGTGATGGTTGTAGTGGTGGAGAGAGAGGGGGAGAGCAAATATTATGTATTTATTTTAAACGGATCACTAATATTCAACACGTGAAAACTTTAACCAGTTTAATGTTATGGACCCAATTATTGTTAGGGTTGAATAAACAAACAATGTTCTTGTTCATCATGATTCGTGGCTTCTATGTTCCATCCCAAGGAAAATAAAAAAACTACTTCTTTCACTTCATAAAATCGCAACAATTTGACTTTTGCACTATAATTATATTTCTTTTTACTATACTTTATACCAATATATGAAAAAATATGTTGTCATGGAAAAAAAATTAATAAATAATTAAGGTCATTTCCTTAAAAAAAAAAACATTATTAATTAAAAAACTCACAAGTTGAACTGGTTAAAGTACGAAGTACTCCGAATTTTGAGTTGGAATTCTTGGTATCAACCTAAAACAACGAAAAATAATGACATATATTTTGGTTAACACCGTAACCACCACCACATAGTTGTCAAGCACTTCATTTTTCTTACGAAAAAATCAGTTAACAATGAAGAGTAGCAGCCAGGTAGCACCTAGCTAAAAGCCTACTCGTAAAACACAGCATAAACATTAGCATATAGTGATAAATTAGTCCTGTACAATATTTCTTTTTTTCCTAAGCTGTGCACAAATCAAAATTTATTCCATCTCTTCCTAGTTTCATTGTACATGAGTACATGACACTGAAATCACAGGATGTTTCTGCAGTTAAATGGTCTTCTTTTCCAATCAGAGTAAGGAGGAAAACTAGTATCCTTCACGACTCTCGTTAACTGCAATATTTTCATTCTGTTCTACCAGTATGATAACTCGATAGCTCCTTAAGTCCTTCATAGCCGTTGTTACTATCACCCTTGTCTGCACATCATCATCAGTTCTACGGTTTTTAATCACATCGCTCAAATCTATTCACAAACACAACTAAACACACGTCAACAAGACCAATAATTTAAAGAACAAAACAGTCAACTGATAAAAGATTTTTAGACCAGGAGGAGAAATTAATTGCTCCAGGTACTTTTGAGTGGACTTGAAGCATTTCGGATGGCACTACGGCAGTTGGAAGTACAGTTGATCAAGGCAGCATCAGACTCCATCTCCGCCTCCACCACCTCCAAGAGCCTCTTCTTCATTTCAATCTAGCTTCTTCCCATTGTGGATCTGTGCCAATTGCTCTCTCTCGGCTACATATTTCTCGTTTTCTCAATTTCTTGGTCCTGCATCTCCTTAAACTTGGCCGTCTCCTCAGCCCTAAAATGAAAGGGAAAAGAAAGCTGACAAGTGTATGCTAGTGATGCTACTACATATTTGCGATATGCATGTCAGCACAAACTTGTTTCAAGGCAAACTTACAATAAAGATAGACAGGCTCCACGTTGTTAATGCTGTCTTGTAAATCATTCTTACCTTAGTGATGAGAGTGTTGCAGACTTACAGGCAAAAAGGCAGAAGAGCTAGAATTGAGCTTTGCTCATGGCCAGGATCCCTGTGGTTTAGTCATGGATATAAGCCTTTTAGCCTCCGCCTCTACCAGTTTTGGTCAGACATGTCAGTCAGGTGCCAATAAGGCCATACACACCAACCAATAGAAGCAACAGCTGCAACAATTGGAAAACCAACTCAATAATAACAACAAACCAGTTTTGGCTCCTTTCTCCCTTTCGAAAATGTACCAAAATAATTTAAAACCCAGCACAATGTTATTATATTCTATATACTGTACTTTGTATAACATACATGGAGAGGAAAAAGTCAGAAAAGGGTGCCATATCATTTATCAATGTACTTAAATTCTATTTACATGGACTCTCCATTTACCTCAAGTACCCATGTCCGAAACTCGACACTCGGACATGGGTATGACACTTGGACACTTCACTTTTGATTCAAAACTATGGATTTTTTTCACAAAATAGTCGAGTCGGATACTTGGACATACACTCATGTCGGACATGAGTACCCGAGTCCATGTAACATAGCTTAAATTACTTTGCCAAAAAACAAAATGTACTTAATCTATTTTATGTTGATATAAGGGATTCTAGTAAGAATTTGGCTACAAGGAAACCAACAAATCTTACAAAATAAAAAAGTCTCATGTATTTAGCAACCCTTACAATTCAACAGTAAGCAGGATATTCATCATAAAATTATACAAAGAAATTAGAGCAACAAAAGTCTGTGTGAGCAGGATATTCATTTCAATTGATGAACTTTCGGAGCAACTCATTATCACGAAACAAATGGCTGGTGAACAATGAGAATGTGTGAGCATCAACTTCAAATCCCTTTTTAAGCAAGATATCTCGATAGTATAAGGCATTTGGAAAGTCATTGTGTTGAATAAATCCTTTAATAACAGTATTATAGGTTATACTATCTGGAGCACAGCTCTTTTCTTCCATTTTAGCAAGAAGTTGAATAGCTTCACTCATGAGCCCTTTCTTGCAGAAGCCTTTGATCAATATATTGTATGTTTTAACATCAGGTTGCAGACCTTTTGTTACAAGATCTGAAAAGAACTTTGCTGCATCTTCAAGTTGTCCAGCCTCACACAAGTTATCTATTAGGATACGGTAGATGACAATATTTGGCTTAACACCATTATCCTCCATTTCTTCTAGTAATTTCACTGCCACGTCAAGCCGATCACTTTTGCAAAGGCTGTCAAGCAAGGAGGCATAGGTCACAACATCTGGAGCAATTCCATGAGCCCGCATTTCTTTGAACAACTTATGTGCCATTGGGAGTCTATTGGCTTTGCAGAGTCCATCGATAAGAGTGTTATAGGTAACAAGATCAGGGGTTATTCCTTTCCGAAACATCTCTTGGAAAATGTTTAGGGCCTTGTCAATGTTTTTAGCCTTACAGTATCCATTAATCATAGTATTGAAACTTACCAGGTTAGGCTCACAACCATTTTTTGTCATGAGATCAAGTAGGTTCTCTACATCTTCCATCTGACCACGCAAACAGTACCCATCAAGTAATGCACTATAAGTAAGGATGTTTGGAGGCACACCTCTCTTAGTCATGTGGTGTAGAATGGACTGAGCTTGATCAACACAACCATCTTTACAAAACATGTCAACCAGCATGCTGTAGGTCTTAACATCTGGTGCTATGTTACTCTCTAACATCTCAGTCAACACATGCTGAGCCTCATCCCCACAGCCGGAATTGTAGAGGCCTCGAACCAAGGAAGTATAAGTGACAACATTGGGTTTAATGCCCTCAGATTTCATGGAGGAGAACAGGTCTAGGGCCTCTTGTAACAACCTGTCCTTGCAAAGACTATCGATGATAGTGCTGTATATAACAATGCCAGGCTTAAAACTTGGGTTTAATACAATACAATTCAGGCTGCCGGAAGAGGGAGATAATGGTGGAATGAGGTTGAAGTCGTTTCAATTTGACAATAGCAGTAAATAACTGGTTGAAATAGATAACAGAAGGAAGAGGGCGCAAATTGATCATTTGATTATATAGAAAAAGGGGGGATTTAAGATCGGAAAACCCTAATTTGGATTGTTCTGTAACTGAACTTAGAAACAATTGACGATCTTGGGAAGAAGAGAAAAGTCGAAAATGGGAAAGAAAAGAAGGGGAAAGAGACAAACCGCCATTAAAGAATAAAGCTGAAGCTTTTGAAGAAATCATCATCCTTGAGTTTCTCGCAATCTTCGATCTCCTTCTCCCTTTGTTGCTTTGACAGTGTTTGGTGTAAAATAGGAAATGTATCTATACCCTTCTAAAAAGAGAATACATGGTTTGGGTGAAAAGTAGAACTCACCAGATCCGATCCGAATGACCCGATTCATGACCCGAAATTAACCCAAATACAACGATTTGAAAATGACGCGAAACCCGAAATTGACCCGACCTGATCCATATCCGACCCGAAAATAGAATTGACCTGATCCTGACCCGACACCCTAATTGACCCGGCCCGAAGTTGACCCGGCCCAAAATTGAGCCGAATTTTTTGAACCGAACAAACCCGATATCCGAAATTGACCCGAACAAACCCAATACTCGAAATGTTCCGAAGTAAAATTACCTTATAATTGAATTAAAAATGTCTAGTGCCAAAAATAATTTAAATTGTTCATTTTCAACTGTAGCCACGCTCATAAATCGAATTGATAGTTCTTATTATAACAATATTAAAATATAAAATTATTGATTTGAGCTAAATCGACAAATTAAATGGAACAACCCGAACATGACGCGACTTGATTTTGACCCGACCCGAATATGACCCGAACATACTTGACCTGAAAATGATCCGACCCGAACTCGACCCAATACCTGACCCGACCCATACCCGAAACCCAAAATGACCCGATCCGAATATTAACTGACCCGAAATAACCCGACCCGACCCAAACGACCCATTTACCAAGTCTAGTGAAAAGGGTAGATGTACAGACGTACAGTAACATCTTTTGACTTTATACCTTTTGTGTTTTTTTTTTTTTTTTTTTTTTTTGGTTTTGTTTTGTATGTGTCGAAGTAATTTTTTATTTTATTTATTTTATTTTTTTGAAAACACTGAAGAATTCTCTTTAACTTGTAGTTAAGTATTACTTTCTCTTTTTCAAAAAAAAAAAAATATTACTTTTTCCGTTTTTTTTATTTAACATGTTTCATTTGTTACGTTTGTCAATACATAAATTTAGTCATCTATATTTTATATTCTTAATAAGTAAAAAATTTTACAAAAATAAATGTGATTAAATTTATTGAGACGATTCAAACAAGATCTCACATAATTATATTTTTCGTTAAGTATAAAGTACATAATACTATATAATATCAATGGTAAGTGTGTGAATAGTGCAAAAGTCAAAATAGGTAAAGTATGTAAAAAGAACGAAGGAAGTGTCTTTTTATAGATATATGTATAGAATAGACTGAAAACTCAATGCGTTGCCTTTTTTTTTGTTTTTGATTGTATATATATATATCCTCCGTTCTTTTCTAATTACAACGTTTGAGAATATTTTTTTAAGCAAATTTTTGAGATTTCATATTCCATACTATGTCCACACATTCCTTTGACTACCTTCTGTGTTTTATACATTACGAAAAATATACTCATGTGAGGCGTTGTTAGATTCGTCTGAAATTCAACACTAAAGTACAAAATAAAGAGAATCAATGATTTGGAATTAAATGGTATAATTACTTCCACATCCTTCCTTTTTGTTTTTAATCACTTTGACTCTTTGTTACATTATTAATTAAGTTGATTTCCATTACGCATATCTCAATCACTCTCAAAATTATAACAAGTAGATTAGAAAAAAAGTACTCCCTCCATTTTATAATGATAAAATTTATAGTGTGGGCCGTGGGGACTAAAGGGAAAATGTTATTTACTACAAAAGTACAAAGTAATATAAAGTATAGTTAGTAGAGATATATTTAATTGTTAGCAGGAGAAAGAAATAATGAAAATAGTAGTGTAAGGGGGGGTTTTGGAGAGAGAATAATAAAAAAGTATTGGTTTTTACTAAAAAAGGAAGTATTGTACTTATTGTGAAATGAACGTAAAAGAAAATGTTGCAATTAATACCAAATAGAGGGAGTACAAATTTAGACAAATGTAACAAATTCCCACATAACTATGTTTTTTCTTTCATTGTAAAGCACAATATATCGTCATAAGATCGAGAGAGCATGTATAATGTCAAAATCTTAATGTTGCAAGTAAAACAGAGTAGAGGCATAGGTTAGTATTACGGAGAAACTAAATATCTTTGTATTTTATGTGGGGTAGGTAGGAAAGAGAAATAGTAAAATATTTGTGAAAGTGGGGTTAGTGGGAGAGAGAAATTATAAAATAATGGTGGGTTCTTTCCAAATATAAAACTGTTGCAATTAATATGAAACGGATGTAAAAGAAAAACATTGCGATTAATACGAAACGGATGGAGTATTAAAATAAATTAGAAGTTAGCGTTATACACGTTTTGATATTTTTTAAAAAAAATTACTCTCTCTGTTTGTGTTTTTGTAAGTGTTACAATTTAATCGGCATATAGTTTTAGGCAATTTAATTTACTAAAATAAGAGGTAAGTGGGGTAGTTAAAGTATTAAAAAATTGTAAAAGGAAGATAGTGGAGTTAATAATTTATTGTAAAGTATTGAAAGGAATAGTGTCCTTCCAACAAGTGTATTATTTTGATAGAGGGTTTAGAATTATTACACAGCTAATTCTTTAGTAAGGTCAAGTGATCGGAATGCCTAGGTAGAGGCCACTTCCGATCAGTAATATTAAGGTATAATTAATATTACAGCTTAATCTTAACTGAACCCTTCGGGTCGAACCCAATCGAACGACTGATCCAAGACGACGAATTAATCCGAAGGATTTAATGAGTCGACGGAGTTTTACGAATACATACATTGGATATCGAGCCTAGGGCGTCGAGACCGAGCGTCGCAAAATCACAAGCAATAAGTATGAGCGTAGCCGTAGTATCGCACTGGCCTAGCCATGTGGACTGCTAGGCTAGGCTAGCTCATCGCAAACCTAGGCGCACCATGTGTGTGCTAGGCGCACCATGGTGTGCTAGGCAAGGCATGAGTGCTAGGCGCACAAGGCAGCCCATCGCAGCCTTCGCATGGCATGGCAGCACCATCGCAGGCCACACGCACCATGCACAACACTATCGCATGGCTAGGCCAATGCGTGTGTGCGTGTGCATGTGCCTAGGGCCATCGCAAGCCATCGTAGGCCACACGCACCAAGCACAGCCATCGCAGTGCTAGGCACTTGCGTGTGTACGTGTGCGTGAGTGCCTCGCACCATCGCAGCAGCAGCCTCGCACAGCAGCACCATGCCAGGCATCGCCCTGTGCATGTGCGTGTGCGTGTCCGAGTGCCAGTGCATGCTGGCTAGCAAGCAGCAGCAGCGAAGGGTGCCTGGGCTTGTGCGTGTGTGTGCGAATGGGAGTGCGAGGGCATTGGCTTGCGTATGCGTGTGCGATGGCTGGGCACCAGCGGCAGCAGCAGCACAAGCATCGCTCAGCGCCAGCACGCATAGCCTGGCTGGGGATGCGAGGCTGCTGGCTGGGCTAGCTGGCAGCACCAGCTGGCGTGCTAGCTGGCTGCCAGCCCAGCATGCTTGGTGGCGGTTTGAGGGAGTGGGGACCAAAGGCTTAGAGCATGCCTTGGGGAGCAAGGCAATGTCCCCCCCAAGGTTCATGGTCCTCACCTAACTCTCTCTCTCCCCTTGACACTTGTTGCATTGTGATTGATTTGATTATTAATTTATTTTGGAATTAAATTAATTATCAAAATTATTCATTCTCCCACATTGGTTGGGAAATGAAGATCAAGGGTTTATTTCCATATAAATACCAAAGTTGGGTATTTGGGAAAGAACACACTTGAATGGAAAAGTAAAGGCAACTCTATAATTGAGTGAACCTTGAAATTCGTAAAACTCTAGTTTGTTTTGTCCGGGCCTCGACTAACTTTCGAGGCTTAGGACGCTCGGGTCGAGTTCGAGGGTACGATCCCGTCGGAGACCTCGTATTTTCGGGGTTCAAGTAAGAGCTCATAGTTGAGCAAAGCACGCATCAAAGGTATAATCTTTTATCCTTTCTTATGCTTTTAATTATGTTTTGCTTGTTAATTGCATTTATTATGGGGGCGGGTCTTGGCGGGTTTCATTCCGCGTAGTGTGGGTCACTACGAAACCCTACAAGTACTCCATAATATAATGAATGTGATAGGAAATAAATAATAATACTACCTCCGCGCGAGGTTATCTGCAACAAAGGACAGTGTTGCGGACTCCTAGGAAAAACTTTTTAAGCAAGATTAATGAAAAGTAAGAGCAGAGAGAAGGGATAATTAAACTTAATTAAAATAAAACACACAATTAATAAAAATAACTTAAAAAAAAACCACCAACCTAGCCGAGCCACCCCGCTTGCTCCCTGTCCCCACCCCCACACTCGCTGACGTCAAGACCCCCCCTCTTTGTGCCGGCGCCGCCCCTCCCAACCCCTTGTCGTCGCCCCTCCCTTTCCCCTTGAAACACCAATAAACAACAATCACCCACGCAACACCAATCCCCAACTCCACATACGCCACCCAACGAACCACCAACACCCAACCCCACATACGCAACCCCCCGAAACCACCACCCAAACCCACGAAACCCATCACCAAACCCACGAAACCAACCACGAAACTCAGATCTGGAGAATTGCGCGACGCGAAATTGCGGTGGTGCTGGGGTAAGGTGATGGAGAATTGCGGTGGTGCTAGGGTAAGGTGGTGGAGATGCGCGACGATGCTGGGGTAAGGTGGTGCTGGTGGAGATGCGCGACGAATTGCGGTGGTGCTGGGCTAAGGTGGTGGAGATGCGCGTCAATGCTGGGGTAAGGTGGTGCTGGTGGAGATGCGCGGCGAATTGCGGTGGTGCTGGGGTAAGGTGGTAGAGATGCGCGACGAA